ATCTTCCTAGCATTGGATATGGTTGGTCACTTCCTCCTCCTTGAAACACTTTCTCTTCTTGGCTCCTAGCACAAAACTTCCACACTTTTCTGGTAAAAATGGAGTTTTTCTGATTGAAGCCTTCCCTTCCCTATCCATGGCCTTCTAGTAACCCAATACTATTCTCAAAGCCTCTAGAAGTTTCAAAAGTACAAACTATGAAAAACATGTTCCAAGAACAATTCTAGGTGATACATATATAGTATTTGCGCTTTATATCACTCAGAGCTATATTAAATTTTGTCACAATAATCAGATGACCATCACTAAAAGACTTAGATGTGTTTTACACACACACACACACACACACACACACACCTGTGCATCAAGTTACGAAGCATATATTTTCATTAGGAGAAGTTAGTAATAATTAAAACAATAATAGCAGCTAACATTTATAGGCCAAATACTATGTGTCAGGCACCATATTTAGTGCTTTACCTTCTATGCATCTTTTATTATTCACAACAACCATGCAAGACAACCATGACCACTCCCATTTTACAGATGATGAAAATGAGGTTGGAGAGCTTAAGCAGTTTGCCCATCTAGGTGACAAATTTTCACGCAAGACTTGCTGACCCTAAAGCTTTTTCTTCTTTTCAATATACCATGCAGCACTGAAATCCTGGCTCAGTAGAATGTCTAAAAAGCATTTCCTTGAAATTCTGTATTTATCACCAGTAGAGACAATACAGCAGTAAAGCCGGAAGATTTAAAAATAAAAGCTGAGCCAAGTAGCATTGGGAAACAAACTCATAACAAGTTGGGTGTTTCAAAGCAAAGGAGTCCAATGTGCCACAAATCTTTTCAATATTGAACCACTCAAATGCTCTCTCTAATCAGCAGCAGTGCAGACATTTTGGGTTTCACTTTTGATATGAATATGAAAATTCTGGGTCTAGTATCTCAACACAGCTGTTCCAAGGTCCCTAGGGAAGGGCACTGAGAAAGAAGGCAGTGTGGGCATAGTGGAGATTTTTGCCAGATGGTTCCTCTCCACATTAGACTCTCCTCAGCATATTTTATTTATTTAACCCTATTGTGTCTGATCCTTAGGAAAAAAAAAAAAAACGAAAAAACAAAAACCGGTTTTATTCCAAAGGCAATTTTTCCCTGGATCCTCTTGGGACTTGACATTTTAACAGGCACCACTGTGTATTCTAATTTCATAAATAATAGGTCAGCTTTTTTATACCCTCAGTCATTTAACTGCTGCTTTCCCAGCAGGATATTTTTTTCCTGTAGTCTGTTCTTTATTTCTTTATATAGGTTCTCAACCTGAGGTTGGCACCTCACTCATTTCTCTCTCTCTCTCTCTCCTCTCTCTCTCCTTCCCTCTCCTCTGCTCTTCCTACTTTCTATCTGTTTCTTACCCTTGGGGAATTTTCTAGTTTCTAACTTTCTAATGACCTTTCTCTCCTTTCCTGCATGCTTATCCTTCTTTCTGTTTGCCTGGTCTTGAAGGTATCATTTACCTTAACATTCCCTCTTTGTGGGAAGCTATGGTTTAATTGCCTGCATGGGTCTGACTCCTAGCCATGTCCATACTTTTCCTCAATACTTAAATGAGTTTCCATTCCAGAATGCTCCCATTCTTCCTTCCCCCAGGTCCATCCTTCGCCATAGGTTTCTGAGCCCTTCCCTGAATCCTGTGTGCCTATGCGCTAATACTATACTCTTGTGATTTTCAAACTACTAGAAGTCTACTTCTACTAAGTTACTTCAAGGTCACTGCAGAGTGAAGAGGAGCTTCAGGGGACATGATTCATGGACCCCACCAATGAGAGCTTTAACCAGAGCAGCTCCATTTTTATCTTTAAAAAATATAGTGAGTTTCACAGAAAATTTCATTTGAAACAAATAATCTACTAAAAAGATTTGACATCTGTATACCATTAGCCTAGACTTAATAACTCTACCTTTAATTTATGACTCAATCCACAATTCTGGTGCTGACAGGTAAGAAGCTCCAAATTATTCTATAAAGAAAGACAGGACATCAGCTCAAAACAGAAGATGGATTTGAGCTCCATGCTGTCAACATTTGATACTGTTGAATTTTGTTTCATTTAAAAAACATAGGGATAGATTTGAGAATTCCAATAAATGCTGTATCCCTGGATGAGGGGTAAGCTTCAGGTACCTCTACAAGAAATAATATGAATGCAATAATAATATTAAAGCTTTATTTCTGTAACTAGCTAAGGCACTGAAGATTGAAATATTGCAGAAAAAAATATTGCTGAAAGGCAATAGCATCCTCACCACACAATAATTTAAACCTCATTTATAAGCATGGTTTCTCCTTGAAGCCCAAGAAAAAAGGAAGATGGTGACCTGTATGCCAATGGAGTCACCATGGCTTCCGAATTTCTTTCATAAAGAAAAGTGAGGGAAGGTGGGAATGGCTTCCAGAAGGAAAATACATGTGGCATTTGGCTCTATGAGTCTGAGATAACTGGATCTGGCTCCCTAAATATAATATCTTCCTGTGAATATTCAAGAGGCCTTTAGACCTGAGCTAATGGATGCCACCATGGGGGGAGATGGTTGCATTGAATACACAGAAGAGATGCTGCTACAGGTGTTAGTGAAGTCTGATTATCCTCCAGGAGAAACCAATGGGACTTTAGGAATTCACTGTGTTGCAAAAAGCACAGTTTCTTTCAATCCAGTTCATAGCAAATATTTTATATAACCTCACATTCGGAGAAAACGATTTTATCTATGCAGCACACATAGTAGTTGATTTTCCTGCACCTTCCCAAAACCTTCTTCAGAGTTTGTTCCACAGCCCCTGCTGAGAATGACCTTTCTTTCAAGTGCCATAATTGCTTGTACCTAGGATAGAAAACAGTTCAAGACCCAGCTATGACTACTGACTGTATGACATTGAGCAAGCTGCTTAAGCTCTCTGAACTTCATTTACTTCATCTATAAAATGAAAATAATAATAGCAAATACATCCCATTGTTACAGTGGGATTTAAGTGAGATAATATGGGTAAAATGCCATACAAATATCAATTGTCTTTAATATCATTGATTTTTTTTCTAGAGAGAAAAACTATTTCATTTCACCAATATCAGGAAACTGACTTAGCTGGTATTTTTATTGAAATGCATTGTTTGTGTTTCTGCATTTTGTTAAACTGAACTGAATGTGATATGTTTAGAAATGTAAAATATTTTAAATGGTTCCAACTATATTCCTCCCAAACTTAAAAGCCTCCAGGACCCTGGTAGAGGACATTGATGTGTGACTTGGGTCCAGAAGAATATGGGGTGGGGCACCTGGGTGGCTCCATTGGTTAAGCATCTGATTCTTAATGTAGACTCAGGTCATGATATCACAGTTCATGAGACTGAGTCCTGCTTCAGAGCACAGAGCCTGCTTGGGATTCTGTAAATAAATAATGAACAAACAAACTTGAAGAAGAAGAAGAAGAAGAGGAAGAAGAAGAAGAAAAATACAGGGACACCTGGCTGTCTTGTTCAGTGGAGCATGTGACTCTTGATCTCGGGCCCCACATTAGGCATGGAGCCTACTAAATTAAAAGAAGGAGGAGGAGAAGGAGGAGGAAGAGGAAGAGGAGGAGGAGGAGCAGCAGCAGTAGCAGCAGCAGCAGCAGAAGAAGAAGAAGAAGAAGAACACTGACAATAATGCAGTAGGGAGTGGTTGGCCCTCTGTCAAATCGTAGAGGATTCAAATTCAGGATATTTGAGTATGAATACACACACGCACATATTCTCTCTCTCTCTCTACCTCCCTCCCTCTTTCTTCTCATGTTGGGCTAGAGCTAGCCAATTTTCAACCTCTGCTGAGGAGGCTGAGCAAAACGTAGCTTATCTGCACTTGCTACCTTTTCACTCTTATTTTTCATATCCTCAATGCACAGCCCCACCTAAAGCCACAAGAATTAAATGAATTATTTATGCAAATAAATGCTATTGTCTGAGGGAATTGCTCCTAGTTTTTTTTCTACTTCATTGGCTGCTGTTTCTCAGTCTCTTTTGCTGGCTCCTCCCCTTCTTCCAAATGCGGTCTCCCACAGCTCAGTACTCAGACATCTCTTTCCCACATTCTCTCTGTAGGTGATGTCATCCAGTCTTATGACATTAAATACTCTTTATGCTGATGTTGCCCAAATTTATACAGCAAGTCTGGACTTTTCCCTGAACAACAGACTATTATGTTCAACTTCCTACCTGACATTGTCTAGTAGACATCTCAAAATTACTGTGTCCAAAACCAAAAATCTCGATTTTTCTCTCTAAACCTGCTTCTCTTCATCTCAGTTAACACTTATTTTATTCATCCCGTTGCTCAGATTAGAAACTTGGGAGTCATCCCTGACTCTTCTCTTTCACATTCCATATCCAGAAAATATCCAGAATATCCAACTTCCACTGGCACTACAAAGGACCAAGACACCTTCATGTCTCCCCCAGATTGTTGCAATAGTCACCTAACTGATTTCCCTCTTCTGCTCTTGCTCTCATATAGTCCATTCTCCCAAAAGCATCCAGGGTGATTCTTTTAAATTCAGATCCATACAAAGGCCTATAAAACTGTACATGATCATACATTTCCTGACCTCATTTCCTATCAGTATATCCCCTCATTCTACTCGGCTACAGTGGCTTTTGTAGTAAGGAATCTTTTTTAAATTTTTATTTATTTATTTTTGAGAGAGAGAGAGAAAGAGAGAGAGAGCGAGAGAGAGCACACATGAGTGTGGGAGGAGTAGAGAGAGAAGAGAGAATCCCAAAACAGGGCTCCATTTCAGGAACCTTAAGATCATGACCTGAGCCAACATCAAGGTTGGATGCTTAACTGACTAAGCCACTAGGCGGCCCAGTAGTTTTTTTTTTTTTTTTTCAATCAAAACTTCTCATGTTTATTACTGAACCAACCTACTGGTTCAGGAGCAACGTAACAGAGAAGTTATTTCCTTGATAAGTTATTGCTATGGGGCATGTGACGGGCAGGTGTCGCATCAGGAACACAGGATTCAAGTGGCATGATAAACGGGGAAACGCGTGCCATTGCCATCTCACGTAGGATCACTCACAGACCCAGCTTTGTTCTTCTCCAGTGTCGCCTCTTGGAGTTGTACCTGATTTTGTTACCAGTTTTCATCCGAATCCACTGGGGAATGGGACGATTCTGCTTTTGTTTCTTGGCCAGGAATCGCTTGATCCTGAAAGTCTTATGAGAAGACATGGCGAGAAAGAGCCAGCAACACACACCACGATGGCGGAGAAGCAGAAAGAGAAGCCCAGTAGTATTTTTTTAAATGGCCCCCAAAGAGCCTTGCTGCTTAGTATTCACATCCCTGTGTAATCTCTTCTTCTGTGGAAACTGGACTCAGTGACTTGCTTTTAAGAAGTAGAATATGACGGGAGTGATGGGATCACTTCAGAGATTGGGTTACAAAAAGAATCTGGACCCAATCTTTACCCTCTCTTGCTTGCTAACACTGAGGAAGCCAGCTCCCACATGGTGAGCTTCCCCCAAGGAGAGGGCCATGTGAAAAGAGACCAGTGGAGCCTTCTGACCAACAGCCAGCAAGGAAATGAGACCTTCAGTCCAACACCTTGCAAGAACTGAAGCCTGCCAGCAGTCATATGAGTAAGCTGAGTGGATCCTCTCCAAGGCTAACACTTTGACTGTAGCCTTTGGAGACAGAGGTACACAGTTAAGTCACATCTAGATATTTTACCTACAGACACTGTGAGATAACAAATAATTTTCATGTTAAGGCTTTGGGGTAATGTATTACACAATAATAGGTACCTAACACAGCCTCACTGCACACAGCAGGAACACTCTTACTTTAGGGCTTTAGTACTACCTGTTCTCTCTACCTCAAACACCCACGACATAGGTAATGGCTCTCTCCCCCCAGCTTTGTTCAAATGTCACCTTTTCAGAGTAGCTTTCTCTAACTACCATTTATAAAAATGGCAAACACTCCACAGTGCTTCTGATACCCCCATTCTTGTTTTTATTTTGCTGTCATTTACCTCACATGACAAATTATATATTAATTAATTTATTGTCTGTCTTCCTCCATTAGAACACAAGTTCTATAGAGGGCCAGGACAGTATTTATTTTGTTCATGCTATGTCTCCATTACCTAGAATTATTTCTTATACATGGGAGCACTCTATAAATGTTTGTTGAATGAATGAATGAGTTGCTAGTTGCACAGTGCAGAGTCACAGGAAATTCTAAAAACTAGTGTTCATGGGTGAGGTTTGAATCAAGCGACAAGCAAATATGTCAACCGAAGCATCAGTTTCAAGGCATGGGAAGAGGAATGAATGCAAAGATGCAGAAATCTAGAAACACCAGGACAAAAACAATAGAATTCTATTAGGATAGTAAAAGATGGATCCTGTAGCAGTATTATGGAACTAAGGTGGTAGAGGTGGAGGTGTTTAGAAATAGTCATACGAGGGCATATCGTGAGCCAAAGCTGACAGAATTTGGTGACTGCAGTGTGACAAAAAGAGAGGACTTACAGATAACCCCAAGTCCTTTGGCTTGAATAATTAATGAATGGTTTTGTGGCTTTTTAGGGACTTAGTTAACATTGTGGAAAGAGAAGTTTTGTGGGATGTAGGGCAGGAAGAAAATCAGTAATTTTTGTTTGGATATGTTAAGTTTGAGGCATTTTTTAAGATTTCCAAATAAAGGAGTTGTAAATTATAGTATAAGTCTGTGTATAATCCATCAGACTGGGTGAATTCCACTAAGTAGTATGCACAGATAACAAAGAGAGTAGAGAGTTTAGTACTGTAAATACTCTGGCCATTACAGTTTAGAAAGAGGAGGAGGATCAACAAGAAATACTGAGAAGATGGCATCCAAGAAACCAAGCAAAGAAAGTGTTTCAAAAAGAAAGGAGTGTGTGTTGCCATGTTACTGCTCCATTCAATCTACCTTCAGGGATATAGTTGACCAATAACCCCAGCTTCCATCTTTCTGTATCCACCATGCCGTTTGTGTTCAGACCACACTTACCTCGCCAGCCAAAGACTGAGCACAGTAAGAGTTCTACTGTAGGATGTGGGACTCCAAATGGGCAACTATGGTTCACTGACTCCTCTGAGCCTCTTCCTAGTTTATATTCTTTTCCTTCTCTCTTTTCACATGTCCCTGGTGTACACCACAGACTGAGGCTTTTCCCTATCTTCTGTTCCCTTCCTTTCATTACTTACAGGTATTGCCCTCAATAATTCTCTTGCACCTTTAATCTCATCTTGGCATCTGCTCCTCCAAGGACTCAAATTGACACACAGAATTAATTGTATTAACGATATTGAGAGACAAGTTAAGATGAGGAAAGATGTTTGACCATTGGATTGAACAAAATAATGGTCATTTTTTACATTAACAGAAGCCATTTTAGTTAAAAGGATGGGAATGAGAGTCTGATTTGAGTTTGTTCAAAAAAGAATGGGAGACAGAGACAGGGAGTACAGATATCTATTCTTAGGATTTTTGTTATAAAAGAAAGCAGAGAAATGAGGTGGAGGCTGGAAGTCAATGAAGGAAATTTTTTTTTAAGATTAAAAAAAAATTATGTGCTTGTGCACTAATGATAACGATCCTTGAGAGGGAGAAACCTAATATGGAAAGAGAAATCGAAGATAATCGGTGGGGCAAAATAGTTGAGAAAGTGAGAGACTGAGAAGGGATGAGTTCCATTACTTATGCAAAAGACTGGCCCTACATGAAACCAGGGACAGTTTATCAGTTGTAAGAAGACATCAGAGGTGGGTTGTAAATATGGAGGTGGGAAGATGAAATAGCTTCATTCTGACTACTTTTGTTTTTTCAGTGAAATAAGATTGTCAGCTCAAGTTGAGGAATAAAGAAGCTGTTGGAAGTTTCTAAGGGGAACAGGTGAAAATATTTTCTGGGAACATGGGAGTGCAAGTGATTTACAAAGTATGTTAGGACAGCGAGATTTATAGATTAAAATTTTAACTTAATCCAGTCAGGAGAGCTGTGATTTTTTTCCAGTCAGGCTTGACTGCTTAGGTGTAGACTCTGAGTTGGTGGAGTGTTAGCTTGAACCAGGGTTAATGGTTTTCCAGGTAAATATAATGGAGGTAGACAGAAACAAAGTAGTCCAGTATTTTGCAAAGCTGAGATTATAGTGATAGAACATGAAATGTACATTTGGTAAGGAGGAAATGAAGGGAATCATGGACAGTTGAGCAAGGTGAGGAGTCAATGGATTGGAGATCCCAAAGTACTTACTTAAAGAATTGTTGAGTTAGAGTTACCAAATTAAGTAAGCCAGAAAGGAAGGAAGAAGTGCTCAGAGAGTAAGATGCTCTAAGTCAAGTTTCTGGAGAGAGGGCAATTTATTAGTAATGACAAGGTCTAAACTATGACAATGAGTAGTATTGGCTAAGGTGGAGTGAATGTCAAGATAACTCAAAGAGAATACGTGAAGAAATAGAGAAGGGAGAGAGTTGGAAGGATACCTACATGGTCACTCGAGTCACCAAGAATGATGAAAGGAAAAGGAATAGAAAGAAAGCAGTGAGTCAAAAGCTAACATTTGCAGTGAATGTAGATAATAACCAGGAATTCAGTAGATGACTTTAACAAGGAGGAGTGGTGGTTGGTCAAATGGCTGGAGTTTCAGTAAACTTTCTAAAGCCCTCCCTTGCAGACTGCAAGAGCAATGTTGGAAAAGGGCTCACCAGAGACTCTTTGGAAGCTCTCATAAATCCTTAGAGGTGTTTTAGGAATTATATTGAAAAAAAAAGGAGAGAATTCATATGGTCAGATGAGTTTGGGAACTGCTAGTTTCAACAAGGTTAAGGAGATTTCTTTTCTGCAGAACATAGCAGAATCCTTAATATGGAAATGTGCAATGTGAATTATCTAAAGGGAGATAGCATATTTAGGTAAGCAGGGATGTAAGCCATGAAAGTCCTCCAGAATCACCAACCAGACCCAAGTTTAAAGTGGAATGGAGAGCCTTGGACTCGATGACAGGAGACGGGATCTATGTATAGACTTGCAATGTAATGTGCTACCAAAAGTGCATAAATAAATGGGACTTTTGCCAATTCAATCATATTTCCCGTTGGTCTGCACAATCATTTAGAGTTATTCGCTTTTCTGAAGGACTTTCAAAGGGTAGTAGCTTCCAACACCTGAGTTCGTAGCTTAACTCCCAACAGTGAGTCACTAAACACCTAAATGCATTTGTTGTTGTAAAGTGAATAACCTTTTTTTTTTAACATATAAGGTAAATAACTCTCTTTAATTCATGTGGCAGATATGTGAAACCATAAATCAGAATCTGCAGGAATAACAATTAGTCTAGTACAAAATTACAGAGAGGAATAAAACTGACTGCTTACACTGTCAACTTTGCTCATTTTCACATCCCATCAATTTGAGCTATTCTTTAGACTGAAGTCATCAAGAAAGCTTGATATTCTATAGTTATATAACATGATGTAATGAGACCTCTACAACAACAACAAAAAAATTAAAATCACCGTCATTACCAGTCAGTGTCTTCAAACGTCATTTTATATAGCACAAGGAAAAAATTGTATTTGAAGAACAAATCACATGTCATTTTAAAGTACCACTTTCTTTCTATCCTTTTCATAAAACAATGACATAAAATATGGGTTGCATATTTTAATCTGCATTCCCTAAAGAGAGATGGAGCTCTGTCTCTTTAAAGTGGCCTTTAATTAATGTCCTGTAACTGGCAGGTGGAATAGAAATAAAAATTCAAAATACGTGATGCGATTTGCTGGTTATGGCCCCATCTCCATTCTATTAAACTTAGCAACCTTACAGTGCTTGTTGTTTAATGAGTAGTTTAATACAGTGAAGAGCACAGAGCTGGCATATCTGAAATTTTTGCTATTCCAAGCCAAAAAAAAAAAAAGAAAAAGAAAAAGAAAGAAAGAAAAGAAATATGACCTTGGAGTTAAACAATTACCTTAAGTAGTAATAATAAAACAAATGCATTTTAGACAAAATTCTGTATAAATACAGAGAATCTTGTTATTGGAATCTTCAAGTTTTCAGTAGATAATAATCAAAAACTTATTTTGGATTTTGCATCATTGCTAAACATCTTTTCTCAACATGCTACCTACTTTCCTGCCTGAACAAATCCAGTCTAGAAACCACTTGGAGCATGTGGGTGTTGAGTGGTTACCCTATAGGCACTCAGGGATATCAATCTGCCAGAGCCTGGAATAAAGACCAGGGG